GATATAGATAAATATTTAATGCTTTAGAGAATTCAAGTGTAATTTTTTCTGGAGAAAAAATTTAAATTAACATAGTTTCTAGTGCTAGCCAAGATAGTAAAGCTCTTCTGCTACCCCTACTCTGCACATTCTCTTACTAGTAATGGAAGGAAAAGCCATTTCTATAGACAGTAGAATCTATTTAATCATCTTCAAATTTGAACTGTCACTAAAAGTGGAGAAAAATAGATCTCAGGAAAAAATGGTAATGTTAAATTTGGTTTTAAAGCTTAGGAATTAGTTATTACAGAAGAAAGACCTCAGGGATGTTATGACTTACAAAATTTTCATCTGTAGCTACAATATTAGCTTTATTAGAATCTACAGTATATTTTTGTGAGTTGTAGAAGTTGTACTTTTGGCCAAATTTTATATTACCTTTCTATGCCATTTAAAAACGCCTTTATACTATAGGATCATATACTATGATTGTGTGTTTAAAATCTGCTTTTAAATTTTGTTTATGAAATAATCTAGTTCTTGCTATCGATGACAAAGTTTCAATTTTCAAGAAAAATAAAAACATGATTTAATTCTTACCCTAGGGTGACATCACTTCCATCCCTGAACTTGCTGACTATATTAAAGTTTTCAAGTAAGTACAAAAAAAGGGAGGGATTCCAAATATTAATGGATAAGTGTCAGTTTCAGCATTATGATAATTGAATTTAAGTTTCACTGGCAAATGCATCTGTTTACAAATCAGATGAATATCAGATTATGAGGGAAAATAAACATCTTTCACAGTGCTCATTAATGTGTTTTATCTGATAAACTTAAGAGAGGAAAAAAAAAGGTTGTGTAACCTAGATTGCATCATGTAGATTCTGAAATATACAGTGTCTTGGTATAAAGCCTGCCCTCAGGGAGAAAGCAGTACAGAATGAACTGTTACTGCCAATGATCATTTCCTTGTGTGGGACTCATACGCTATTGAGTTCTATTCATTCATTCATGGAACATTTTGTAATAAAGTTCCAGTGTGCATTATGCAGACTTTTAAACAATCTAGTCAGATTCACAGAATCATGAGAGCTAGGAGTTAAGGCCAAGAGGGGAAAAAGGAAAGGTGATGTGGAATATGATACTACAGCCATTATGGGGTAGCGACACAGAATTACTGTAGGTAAGCATATAGAGCTCAGCATGTGTAACCACTCTGAGATAAGGGCATGATTCAGATGCTGCTGCTGACCCCCCCGCTTGCCCCTTGACACATCTCTCTCTTCTGTATTACCTTTCCTTACCCATTCTCCCTCATGACTGCTCTGTCTTCTTCACGTTTACATTGGAGTGGCAAGGTTAAGTCACCATTGAAATGCATCCCTGAGAGAGACGAGCACCTCCCTCACTCGAGTCATGCCAGGTAAACTTGCATGTTCAGAGAGGCGCTACAGACAAGATAATTATGAGACATAGGGACCTTCAGGTTATTCACATTCATTTCACTTTGCCATGCGCCCTGCTAGTGATAGAGGTAACTGCAGCTGACAGAAATACTGGGGTGTTGAACCCGACTGCCTTTCCCCTCTATCCACTCACTATTTTTAGATCTTTCTCAGTAGACTGAAAAGGAAGGGGCAAATCCAGTAACAGCAACATGAGTAGAACATACTGGCTGAAAGGTACTAAAGTCAGCATTTATAAAACTCGGCCTCAGGCTTTTAACATCGTGAAACTTTGCTGCTAAAACATAGCACTGATAGTTACTCAAGTGGTTTCTTCCCTAAATTCTATTTGACATACAGACCAAAAAAGCTGACTCTAAAAGGTTACAAGCAGTATTGGTGCACTTTTAAAGATACATCTATTTCTTGCTATAAGAGCAAAGAAGAATCCAGTGGCACACCGGCTCATCAGATGAACCTAAGAGGTAAGGAAATCCTCAGAACTACCCACTGTTGGGGAAGGGGAGCAGAGAGGTTTTCAGCAGTTTTGCTCCTTTTTTATGTAGACACAGGAGTTTGCACACAAGTTTTATGTGTGCAGATTCCTCCTATATTTTAAATGTGTGTGTATATATATATTTTCTTAGTTCTTACCAGTTTTGAGTATTCAATTTCACATGAATATTTTGTTGTAATAACCTCTTTGCGCATTCCTTACTTGAAGTGTGTGATTTTGCTCTTCTCACTTGGTAAGTAAATTTATGGTATCTCTCTCCTGATCTTCTGCATTAATTAGGACATTTGAGTTTTCATTACTGTACAGGAGCTGCCTGTCTGTTTCAGATTCTGCTTTGTTCTTATCTACGCTGTACTCGTCTTCCCACTCTTTGCCGGTTTCTCTCTTCCTTGTCACCATCCTACTCATCTTCCTGACCTTCACTGATGATAAGCTGGCCCCCCTCAGTGTCCCCAGTCTTAGTTTTCCAGCTTGCTAACAGGGTAGTTGGTACTTGCAGCGTTTGGTCAAATTCCACCCCTTCCCCAACATCTTTTTCCCTAAACATTTTTGTCTTCTTTATCACTGTGCTTTGGGGCAGCCTCAGGGTACGCTACTTACTGCTCTTAGGCTTCTCCTACCTGATGACCTGAACCTCATTGTTTCCTCATCTCGAATCCAAAGCTGTCTTAGAACCAGGGTATTTGAACACACATGGCTGGACACATTTGCTCTCCGTTTTGGTGTCCGTGGTAGGCTTGCTTCCTGTCCTGTATTAGCCTGGCTGAGGACTCTGAGCTATTGGCTTTGTTCTCTTTTTTCTACTTGGGTTTATGGAGCTACAGCTACATTTCCTATTTTGGTGATTTCTTCTATTTCTTCTTCAGACTACCCCTTCATCACTTTCTTCTGATTGATGCACTGGTCAGGTGGTAAAAGAATTTCCTCTCCAGGTTGGTCTGATTCTTCTGCAGCTGGAGGATGTGCTGCTGCCTTTTGCTGTGATTTAACTTTAACTGACCTTTAACTGATCTTAGATTGTGGATGAGCCTCTTAACAGTGTCCAAACTTGTTATTTGTGACACTGTTCACAAAACCTCCTGGCTCACTTCCAGTTTGCCAGGGATTTCCTGGACTGCACTAGGAAGCTGCAGCCCTGAGAACGCTCTTACACAGTTCTCCCAGGGTTCTTGCCAGCCGGCATGCGTGGTGGGAGATGCAGTAGGTTGGGGCCTTGCCACTCCAGAGGCTCCTTTTACTGTGCCTTCCCTTACAGTAGAGGCTAGAAAACAAAAATTCATTTTCTAGACTCATTTCCAATGAGATTTAGATTCTAATCAGATGTATTTCATATAAGATTTGAATTCCTAACTGAGTTAAGGGATAGAGAGCAGAATTGAGAAAGGCATGAAGTACTTCTGGACTCTGAGCTAGCTGCAAGTGGAGGTGGCCTGGTGTCTCAGCTTCCTGGGTGTAGCAAATGTTACACCTCCCTTGGCAGGCTGGTTCTGAAGGTAGCATTCAGGGAGTTATCTTTTTTTAAAGATGTATTTTTCCATATAGAAATGGGGGGGTGAGAGGATTCACCAGAGACAGCGTGGGGAACATAACAGGTAGGCTGAAATACACTGCTGAGGGGAGCAGCGGGCGAGACAGGAGAGGTCTGCTTTACCGTGTGGGTTTCTCCCTGGCTGGGCGGGGATCAAACTGGTGCTACAGAGGCTTTGGATTGCTTCATAGTGCGGTGCTTAATCCCTTGCGCCACCAGGGAGGCCCCAGGGAGTTATTTCTATCTGTCCATCTCTGTTGGGTTATGTTTTACATGTATATTTATTGTTATTAGTAAAGGAGTATGCCTTTGTAACTAAAAATAATCATATTTGGGCAAAAGAATCAAAGATGAAGACCTCTGACTCAAAAATCATTCCCAAAATAATTTCACATTATCACTTAAAATACAGAGGTTCTTTTGATGGACCTGTATTCTTAATTTTTCTTATTAAATTGTATTTTAGCAAAATCCAAATCTACCTTATCTCTCGTCTAACAGTAGACATCTGAACTGTTGCTTTATAGACAAATTGTAAAAAAGGGAAAACATCTGTTTTATGTAGAGGATTGTTATGCCCATCTGTTTGATTTCTATAGTTTTCGTGTAAGTTTTAATAATGACTTAGGGAAAAAGGCACTGAGCTTGAGTTTAATTTGGGAGTGGGGGGATTCTACCATTATCTGTAGACTCTGATAAAGCTTTCCTGCTTCTCTCTTAAGCTGCCCAGATAACCAACTTTTAATTTAGATACTAGATCTGTATTCTGCTCCTTTTCCTCTCTTTTCCATTCACATCCTTAACCTTCCTCTTATATAACTGAAAAATCTTGTCCTGGTGTGGAGAACAGCTTAGGTGTTCTCATCCCACCCTCTGCAAAGGAGTAAACCTTCCCAGCATATCGTACTGATAAACGTAACACTGACCAAAGAATTAAATGTTGTAAGCCCCATGCTTTTGGAAGATAACCCTTGGTTTTTCCCTTTGACATATACACATGTGGACTAGATGCTCTTTTTTTTTTTTTTTTTTTTTTTTAAAGATTTATTTATTTATTTATACAAGCACTGGGTACAGTCAGAAGCGCGGAGGGTGAGAGAATTCACCAGAGCCAGAGCGGGGAGCAGAGCAGGCAGAAGGACCGAAGTACACTGCTGAGGGGAGCAGCGGGCGGCAGGAGAGGTCTGCGCGCCATGTGGGACCCTCCTCTGGTGGCCGGGGAGCAGCCGGGTATCGAACCTGCGCCGCAGAGGCTGCGGGCAGCTTCGCAACCCAGCGCGCAACCGCTGCGCCACCAGGGAGGCCCAGACTAGATGCTCTTTAAGACCCTTAGAGAGCTAAAACACAAAGTTCTAAAAAGAAAAAAAAAATCAGTCTAGCAGATACTAAAAGCATGGGCATGAAGAAATTATAGCCTCATCCCTCAAGATGTTTAGATTATGGGGTGATAAACAGTTGCAATTTAGACAATTTACTTTTTAAAATACTATTTATTAACAGTCAAAAAAGCAAGGGAAAGGTGCTTTACCAGTCTTCAGTGATGGCAGAGAGAATTAAGAGGCTCCATGGTGAAAATAACATCAGAATTGAGATCTGAAAGAGAAAAATAGAAATCTTCATGGAAGGAGGAGAGTTGGTGAGAGTGTCTCTCAGGCAGAGACTGATTTGCAAAAATGTTGGAGAAAATGATCAGCAACCACAGGGGAGTAAGAGGACAGTGTGGGGGTTGTGCTGCTACAACTTAGTGTTTAAGGGGGCAAGACGAATACAGCTGTTGCATCTTACTCCTGTCAACAGATAAGAACAGAAGAGAATGGCAGGAATTAGAGGATTAAAATTTTAAGGAGTTTATTTTTTTAAACTGGTAGCAGTGGTGCACCACTGAAAGATGATTTTTTTTAAAGAATTATTTATGCATACAAGAACTGGGGTACAGGCCAGAGGTGTGGGGGGTGAGAGGATTCACCAGAGATAGAGTGGGAAACAAAACAGGCAGATTGACTGAAATACACTGCTGAGGGGAACAGTGGGCAAGACAGGAGAGGTCTGCTGCACCATGTGGGCACATCCCTGGCCGGGGAATCAAACTCATGCTGCAGAGGCTGCAGAGAGCTTCATAGGTTGCGTCTTAACCCCTTGCACCACCAGGGTGGCCCCCACTTAAAGATTATTAATGTGAAAACAATAGATCCATTTTTATACTAGAGGAGTCATGTTAGAGCAGTAATAGTGATCCAAACTACGTGTAAGTATGGATGGAGAAGAGGGTGGGAATACAGTAGATACTGAGGCAGTTCAATCAAAAGACTGGGTATTGGTTTGGGAGGGCCTAAAGGGAAGGGACTTGTTTCTGGCTTATGCAGTTGGGTGGATAAAGGGATACTGATAATGGAATATGGAAGAACTGGGTTTGGGGAAAAGATGCTTGATTTTGGATATTTATTTTTTTAAAGATTTATTTTTATTGATTTATGCATACAAGAACTGGGATATAGGCCAGAGGTGCAGGGAGTGTGAGCGGATGCACCAGAGACACAGTGGGGAGCAGAACAGGCAGATCTACTGAAATACACTGCTAAAGGGAACAGTGGATGAGAATGAGAGGTCGGCTGTGCCATGTGGATTAGCTCTTTGGCTGGGGATTGAACTCATGTTGCAGTAGCTGGTGATAGCTTGATAGTACTGAGACTTAAACCGCTTGCGCCACCAGAGATACCCAGTTTTAGATATTTTGAAATTGAGGTGTCTGCGGCATAGCTACTTGGAGATTACCTGTAGTCCATTGGATCATAGGAAAGCTTTCTGTTACAGATACTAATCTGGTAACAGCATTAGTACAAACTATATAATAAGAGAATGCTAAGGATAGGATATGCGTTTTAAGAAACAAGCAGATTAAAGGAAACGGATCTTGCAAAGGAAACAACAAAAATATGTGTAGGAAGATCATGGAAATGAATTATGATGGAAGCTAAGGTAAAAGTTGTTTAAAAAAGACAACAGCAGCAGAGGCTACAAAAAGGTAAGCATTTAGCCACATGGAGGTGGTTAATGGGCATCTGCACCCCTATGTTTATAGCAGCACTATTTACGATAGCTAAGCTTTGGAAACAACCCAAATGCCCAAAAATAGATGACTGGATCAAGAAGATGTGGTACATATACACCATGGAATATTACTCAGCATTCAAAAAAGATAAACACATGCAATTTGCAGCAACATGGATGGAGCTGGAAGGGATCATGCTCAGCGAAATAAGTCAGAAAGAAAAAGAAAAATACCGGATGGTCTCACTCATAGCAGGAATCTAGAAAACTTAAATAAGGGACCAGGAAAATGAATAACTAAGAAAGTGAAAGTCAAGGTCAACGAAAAACTATGAACCAGAGACACTCTGGGGGGTGGGGGGAGGGGAGAGATTGGAGTCAAAATAAGGGGGTTGCAATTGTATGGGGAATATAAAAATAAAATTTATTTAAAAAAAAAACCAAATTGAGCAGATTTCAGCATTTTGAGTGTGGGAGCCAAAGTACACTCATTGGGAAGAAACAAAGCTTTTTTTGTGTGTGTGGGACCCTCGCCGGCAGCTGGGGAATCGAACTGGAGCTGCAGAGGCTGCAGGCAGCCTCGCAACCCAGCGCTCAACCGCTGCGCCACCAGGGGGGGGCCCAGAAACAGAGCTTTTTAATGAACCTTATCTATAACAGAGGAGTAGAAAATAGATTGAGGTATAAGGTGGAGGAGAGAGACATTTTGTGGTTTAAGAGGGCAGATACTCAGGGAACCTTGTTACATGCTGATGGAAATGTCATGGTAGAAAGACATCTCTGTGGTGGAGCTAGGTGTAAAACGCATTCCATGTGGATAGAGAGCCATGAGCTGTAGGACAGCTGCCTCTTCTGCCAGGTGAGCATGAGGGCAGTAGCTTTATCTGGTATGGTGGCAGGAAGCTGGGAACTTCACTTCTGATAGCTTTCATGAGAGGTGAGGTTTTCCATGAGAGTGAGTGGCCATAGGAGATCTGAAGATTTGAAATAAACAAGGTTGAGAATGTCTATAAATGAAGAATTGTTAAGTGTCAAGGACCCTGTTGAGGTTGGGATCCCTGGGTTTCTAGTGGAACCGGTCTGCTCTGTTGGTGACTTTTTTTCCTTCCCTCTTAAAGTGCTCAGCAGCCCAAACACAGCGCGCAGTATAACTGGTTGAGTGAGGATTTAGGTTTTGCTGAGTGTGTATAATGAAAAGACCTTGAGTCTAGGGAGTTGGAGATAACATCTGGTGAATGGGGTCTAGTCTGGACTGGGGAGAAGGAAGAGGTGAAAACAAGTTGCTGATTTTGAGAAAATTGAGGGGTTACAGGGATAGGCTCTCAAAGAGTTTGAACAGAATTAGGATTGAAGAGTGATCAAAATGCGCTATTGCATTTAACATTTCAGAGGAATAGTAATTGAGTCACAACAAAGTGTCCAGCATGTTGCTATGGAAGCAGGTAGCTGAGGTCACATCAAGCCAATTATTGTCTGAGATGTGACTCAGTAAGTACCTCTATGCCAGCCCTAGCACCTGTGTTGTACTCACTTTATGTCTCCCTTTTTAGTTTTCATGGTATTTTACCTTGAAAAGAGGCTTAGTTATCATGGCACTGTGTACTTTTAAATCCACTTGAATGATGAATTCAATTAAATGAATTTTGCATTGTGTATCTTCAAACATCTCTTTGTTTTAACTTGGAAGATTAAATACATTTCCACATAGTTTCTAATGTCTTTATAGAAGGAGCTAAAAAGAATGCAAATTCATGACATAAAAGTTGCTTCTAGGCGGGGAAGAGTTCCTTTACTTATGGGAATGGGGGAAAAGATGACAGTATTAACATTTGTTCTTTCTAAAGAGAATGTATGTTTGCTCCACCTCAGAATTACTGGGCATAAAGAAAATTATTTCCTGATTTATATAGATTATATAGCAGGAAAAGTCATAAAGTGATGGCTGCCTGTATTGGCATGGGATTTCTTAAAAGTAAATCTGACCATTTTAACAGTTTGCATTTTTTATTTTTTTGTAACAGGATGTGAAGTGACCCCAGATGTAAACATTTCAGGCCAAAAATTTAACATTAAACTGCTGATTCCGGTTGCTGAGGGCATGAATGAGATCTGGCTTCGTTGTGACAATGTAAGTTTTCCAATTAAAAGTAAATGTCAGTTGACCAGTCATCTTGATATTTTATACTCAAAAGGCTCACATGTGATATATTTCATACCTCAGTATTTCTTTTCATCAGGAAAAACAGTATGCGCACTGGATGGCAGCCTGCAGACTAGCCTCCAAAGGCAAGACCATGGCGGACAGTTCTTACAATTTAGAAGTTCAGAACATTCTTTCCTTTCTGAAGATGCAGCATTTAAACCCAGATCCTCAGTTAATACCAGAGCAGATCACAACTGATATAAATCCTGAATGTTTGGTATCTCCGCGATATCTAAAAAAATACAAGAACAAGCAGGTACTTGATTCATTTTACTTTTATCTGCTGTTTTCTGTTGGTTTGTTTTATAATTTTGTATGTATACTTTAGTTTCAATTTCCCATAAGGCAGTTAGAATATAAAACAGGAATAAACAGCTGTTAGTTTCAGTTGGTCTTTTTTAAAAAATTATTTCTATAGGACAGATGAGGTAGAATATTAATTGTAAACAATCTGAGTAGGTCACTTTAATAGTGTGTTCTTTCAGCGACCTGAATATATGAAGTATGTCCCCAAATACTTTCTGTTCCTTAATTCATGTAGTCATAGTCCTTAAATAACCAAGTAAATGTGATATAACACACAACCAGCATCTCCCAACAAAATCTGTAATGCCTCTTACTGTGGAATAGACTTTTCCAGCTTTGGAAATAAATTTTTTAAGAGTAGTTTACATTTTAACAGTGTCTTTCCTTAACAACCAAAACATAATCAAGATTTGTGTAATGTGACAAAGTTTAATAAATTTCCATTGACATTCACCTCTTTTTGTTCACTCTGCTTAGAATTCTTTTCTGGAAATTAAAACCATAAAAGGATTGCTGTTTAAGAAAATTGTTCTTCAGTACGACATAAACGGTTCTTTGCAGGGGAATTTCTCTTGAGTTAGACCCCCAGTATTCTCTACACCAAGTATCATGCCATAAAAGGAAAAGGCTTGTTAAGGATGGGGTGGGGGGGAGACTGAAGATCTTTAAAATAAACATTTCATTTGATCTAGTTTCATTTTTATCTTCGTTAAAGAGTACTTTTAAACATACTAAAGCTCCAGGAAAGTACCCACAACACTTATTCTTAACCTTAAATATGTTTATCATGTGGGTCTAAAATCACTTAGCAAGAAATGTTCAGAAGTTTTAATGGTCAAATGTTTAAGTTTCAGAGGTCGTGTAAGCTACATGGAAATTGTTTATCCCCTGGTCTCATGCTGTGGGAGGAGTAAGGAATGGAGGAAATGTTGCTTTGGGAACTTTGTGGAATGTAGATTGTAAGTTAAAAAGGGAAAGTGAATCAAGCACTAATTTCATTTAAGAATTACTTGTAAATCAACTTGTTTCTTAAAGTAGATTTATTTGCCTTCAAAGGCAATGAGTAATTTTAAATCTTAGCAATCTATCATTCCACTATCAGGTATTGGAGGGGAAAAAAACACCTTAAAAGTACAATGGTAAAGGCTATGAAATGTTGGCTTAGCTAAAGATAAGTATTGGGTTATTTCTTCAGAAGCCTTTAGAATGAGAGTTCCAACTTTAAAATTTTTCTGTCCCTGAGTTTTCTCCTGGAATGTCAAATGAAAATTCTCTAGAGGACAAAGACAATGTTTGTCTTTAACTGGCAGGATGTGCGTGGGCCACAGCTAAGGATCCTTCTGGTCTTGTCTTCCATGCTGGTATCTCATCAAATGTACATTCTTCTTTGATTCTTCATTCTCTAACTAGTCTTACAGGTTGTTCCTAGAAGGTAGGGACCATGTATTGCCCCAACACTTTGAAAATGCTGACAGACAAAAGTTTAGCTGCTATGGTGTGTCAGGTGCTGTGCTAACCACTGGACATAATGCTCAGTATTTGTTAAACTCTAGAATCCAGTGGCATTCAGGAGCTGGTTAGGAAGATGTGTAGACAAGTGGTTTTCATTTTGGTCTACCAGTATAGCCTTCGTTTTATTAATATTGCTATGGCTGTGTTTAATGAAATGACTTGCAAATTGGATTTTACATTTTAAAGAATTTTCTACATTTTATCCATGTGATTCTAAATTGAAATGAGCTATTATTTTTATAGTCAATATTGCTAGTGTAGTGTATGGCATCTCTCTATTTTCCTTTCCAGGAAAAAGGATGTAAAAAACAGATGGTAATTGCTTTTCTTGTGTAAATAATGAAAACAAAGTATGGTCACTGCACTTTATACCTTCAACTTATTGCTGAAAAGCAGTGCATGGATCATATCTGACTAAATCTGAGAAGACATTAAAAGCTGTTGAATATTTTATTACTAAAATAATCAGCTCTACCTTAACCTCTAAGAATGGGGATAAAAGGGTATTTGCTCTTTTTATTTTATTCCTATAAATTTCTATCTTTAATTTTAGTAACATTTAATCTATAGAGCCATGTGAAGTGTTTCTTAGTATTCTAAATTGAAAGTGATCACTGCTTCCTCGTTTTCATTTTCATGCTTGCATTTACTTTGCTTGGTTTCCACCTAAAGTAATTTTTTGCATGGTTTTTGGCTGGAATTTTGGTTTGCAGGTTGCCGCAACTTTTCTTTGCTTCATTGCCATTTTTTCTGATCGCCTTTTTTTTTTCTTTCTGCTTCCCTTTTCTTTCCTCGCATTGCCATCTACAGCCAGGCTATATAAGAGATTTGGTAAGTTCTCCACATTTACAGAAAAAAAGAAAAATATTTTAAATCCTAGCTACAGTTTCCCTTCATGGATTAATTTCCTTCCACTCCTTATAGGAGTAGTCATCCCAAAATGAGTATAATTTAAATTAAAAATGAACTTTTCTAGTACTGTCTTTAGAAAAATTTCAAAATCATTGTGATTTCAAGTGCTTGAAAGCTGACATATATTCCTGCTAGATTAGGAATCTCTGATATTCCAGGTATTTATTCTGATCATCATATAGCTTGAGTTAAATTTAAAACTCATCATGTATGTGAGTATTAGAACATACCAGCTTAGAATAGCGGTATCACGTGTGTGTGCTTGGAATGTCTCTAGGGCAGTTAAATACTCGCATAGTAATTTTTGTTTCTTGAAATATGAAAACTGAAAGTAAGAAGAAATATATCAAGGTTTTCCCCAATGTAACTTCATCTACTTTCTAATTCCACTTCTTACATGATTTTGGGGTACAAAATTTTAAATCTTTTTGTATTGATTTTGCCATGCATGAATAATATCTAATGGTGACGGTGATGTTTAATCATGTTTAGATATCAGCAAGAATTCTGGAGGCCCATCAGAATGTAGCTCAGATGAGTCTAATCGAAGCCAAGATGCGATTTATTCAAGCTTGGCAGTCATTGCCAGAATTCGGCATCACACACTTTATTGCAAGGTAAAAACCCTTATGTTTAAACCTTTATTTTTTTCACTTAATGTACTTCATATGTAATTAAAACTTAAACATTTAAAGCTACTCTCTGACACCCATCTAACCTATTGTAGAGTGAAATTTAAAGAATGTTGGGATGTATTTTCTGTATTTTTAACTTTCACATTAAAAATTCCATGACTACATTTCTATTTTTACCCATACAAGAATAGTACCTTAATTCTTAAAAAATATTATTCTTATGAGTAAACAGTTTATATTTTTAAATTTAATGTTATAGGTTCCAAGGGGGCAAAAAAGAAGAACTTATTGGAATTGCATACAACAGACTGATTAGGATGGATGCCAGCACAGGGGATGCAATTAAAACGTGGCGTTTCAGTAACATGAAACAGTGGAATGTAAATTGGGAAATAAAAATGGTAAGCTCTGACAGTGTTACTTGAATCCATATGTAGTCCTGCTGAAAAACAGTAAATTAAGAATAAAAAGGTTAAATTCTAAGGATTATTTTTGTACCGTTACCTCTTAAAGTATATAGAATGTGGCTGTTACTCATTTCCCTGTTTTGTAACTATTCCAGTTATGAAAATTCTGAGAATATACTGCTCTCTTTAGAATATCCCCTGACTTCTTTAAGGTTGCCTTTGTCCAGTGGGGTAGGCCCTTTCAATCACAGTGGCAGCAGCTGATTCTGGAATGCCTGCTCTGTGGCAGGCATGATGCTGGAGTCTTCACGCTTGTATCGTATCTCTAACACCGCAGCCTGGTGAGGTGGATTACCCCTCCTTTACAAAAGAGGATTCTAAAAGTTAGAGGTTTCAGGACCACACATTTAATAACAGAATCAGGATTCAAACTCAGATGCCTGGGCTCTAAAACCTGGCACATGGACTACAGATCATGCTGCTCGTAATTTGAAGTATGTGATTAACATTTAAAGTAAGCACAATTTTTTGCTAATGTCATTTGCTTTAGAATCTTGAGCTTGTTGTATCAGTTCCTGTCACTTCATAGGATCTCCTATTACTGAAATATTCAAACATGATACCTAAAGGTTAAGTATCTAAAACAAATATTAAATTAAACACAGGAAGTAGGTTTTCTCCCAGGACTTGGAGAAACATTCTCATTAATTGAATCACCAGAGACCATTTGGGAACTTAATGACCTAAACCCCTTGCATTCAGTCTTCCTTTTCAGAACATGAAAACCTTTCAAAAATGAGTAGGAGAAGTTCGCAGATGTTTTATTCTCTTGGAATTGGAGGCATTATTAGTTTAAGATTAAAGAAAGGGATATTTGAGAAACAAGTACTTTGATAAGACGGACCATAAATAGCAGAGTAGCTCCACTTGGACCCCCCGCCCCCACCTGAAGTTTTCCGGGAACTGACCGATAGTTCTTTGTCTTTCTTCCAGGTCACCGTAGAGTTTGCAGATGAAGTACGATTGTCCTTCATTTGTACTGAAGTAGATTGCAAAGTGGTTCATGAATTCATTGGGGGCTACATATTTCTTTCAACACGTGCAAAAGACCAAAATGAGAGTTTAGATGAAGAGATGTTCTACAAACTCACTAGTGGTTGGGTGTGAGTACAAATACTGTGTAATGAAACTCCACGGCCATAACAATATTTAACTTTAAAAGCTGTTTGTTTGTTATATGCTGCTTAATAAAGTAAGCTTGAAATTTATCATTTTACCATGAAAACTTTTTCGCCTTACCAGACCAGTTAATATGTGCACTAACAAGCACGACTTTTAATCTGCTATCATGATACAATATATGGACCTGAAGATGGCACACATTCCTTAAGGGCCATGAAAACTGAAATAGTGGGCAAGTCAGAAATAAAAACATACTGATTTAAGTTAGCCGAACTCTA